AAATCCACTGGGTAGGCGGTCATGGTTTTAGCGGTCTCGCAAGAGGTGAGTACTGTTACGCGTCGTCACTGTTATCATGCTGTATGTCGCGAATACCCCTCTGCATCTGTCTTGGGTTGATGTTCTGAATTTTCAATGATAGTCTAACCCGTTCAACTCCCGATCCACCGTATGTACTTGTTCGTAATGGAGAGCGAAGTTGTATTTGGCAATGTCCTGTCGACCAAGGGCGAGCGGGATTGGCACGAAAATTGACCGTGATAAACCACCAAACCGCCGTCGTCGTAGTAGTTGGTGGTGTCCTCGATGAAGGCAATATCCATTATCAATAGGTGTCAGGTAAAACCAGACTTGTTTATGATGTTATGGGCTTGGCAACAAGTATTGGTTGGAAGTTGTGGACGAAATAAGTGGAGACCGCAACCTTTACCACACACCACTCCGTCCGTGGCTGGTTACGTCTCTTCATGGAACATGCGAAGAAGAAGCAAAGCAGTTCATTCCCATTCAAGTTGTAGATCAACAGAATGAATATGTGTTCAAGTTGTAGATCAACAGAATGAATATGTGTAGATCAACATAATTAATATTCCATGAATACCAGAACCCATCCCGCGTCCAGACGGTGTGCAGCGTTGCATTTTTGTCTACTCATGAGCGATTGTATTACGACCGTTTCTGGAATTGATACGTTTCGCTTCTTCCATCTACCTATGAAAGATGAATTGGAGAATTCCGTGGACACCGAGACACCTTGGGTTGAGCGATTTCCGCAGAGGGTTCCAAATTGAGTGACTGTCAGTCATGGAAGCTTGTAGAAGTTGGAATCGAGTCCCACGGGAGAGAAGCAGAAGGCTTCCGTATCAAGTGAGTCACTGCTTGCTATCGCGTGGGCAGTTCCCTTGACTCCGATGGAAGTAACGCCAGGGTTCTGTCATGGCAGCAGAACAGGCGCTCTAATGCTGAGATCTGGTCGACTTTTCGGTAGACTGGGGAGGGCTAGGGCATGTCTCAAAGATACCCGAATCATTGCGGAACCCCCGCATGGTTCCGCTCCCACGTACCTTGGCATGGCCAAATTCGCATGAACAGGAACGCTGCCAACTGCTGAGAGCATCCACTTGTGACCCAGTCTGTGAGTCGGTGCATGTGTCGCTAGATCTCGTTAGATCTTACATACATAGAATCCCTTAATTAGATCCTACTGGGCTAGATTCGGACATGGACCGAGACCTCCCTTGTTAGCCCGTCTTGCCCCAAATGCTAGCTCAACCCCCTGAACTAACCGAAACTAAGCGAAAACTACCCAAGTTGTTGTTACTTTTACGAATGAGTGAACCACCTTAATCGAAGGCGCGAAGACGTATGTGACAGTTCCACGGAGGAGGAAGCTGAACACACTTCTCATTGTCTATGCGAATCGTGATTCTGGCTGACATCTCCCACCGGATGAAAGCTGCGCTTGACCACATGGAAGGAAGCTGGACATTGGTGTCGTTGCAAATTTCGATTCTGGCTTACATTACCCAACGGGTGGGAAGTGTTTTCGGCCAATCATAATCGAGCGGCACCAACGTTGACCACGAGGAACTGGCGCACTTGTCTGTGATTTCACAGAAAACTAGGAAGGGATCTCCCACCACAGCAGTCAGTTTCTTCCACAAACTTCTTCTCTTACGCGGGAGCACGCTCTTGGTGGAACCACGTCCCCGCCCTGTACACCACGGCCAGGCGGCGTGAATAAGTCCGCAGGGCTACCCAAATGAATGAATCCTCCCGGGATTTATTGAACAATTCCAGAATACTTCACTCTGGGCCCACGTTCGAAGTCACAACCCAAGCATCCGCAAAGCTGTGAAATTTCCACTGAACCACCGGTCACTGGAGCGAGTTGTTGCAGTCCAACAAACACACGAACAATGCTTCAGCTTCGACCGTGGACACGGTAGCATATTTTCTGCCAATGAGGAACATAAATGCCTTGTTGGGCGGACGTGTGACGCGCACTGAAGAATGCCGTCTCGCTTCTATTCCAGTTCCTGGATAGACCGACCTTATGCCAGCTGCACGTCGTCCTCTCTAAAGCGTTTCAAGCTTGTGGCTACGCCGAACTTCGCTCGCCGCCAAACCTAGCCATTGCCCGCCCTCCCCCCTGCCATATAATGCGGCCTCCATGCTAGCTTCTGTAGTATACCTACTTCACCGAACACATTTTCCGACCGCAAGCAAGAAGTTCGTTTCACCTCGCCTCGGCTAGGTTTCATGTTATGTCTGTGCTTACAACCTCCAAGGCGTTCACCGCCCTCCTCCTGGGAAAACGGTATTCCTCCCATCCCGGCGCCCAGCTACTGCTCCCTCCCACTACCTCATTCATTATTCATTCACCATCGACGGTTTTGCTGCGCCAATCATCCGGGTTCACCCGAGCACCACCCCTATCCCACCCTATCCCCGACGGCGCCATCTTCCCACCAACCGAGCTCCTCGCTTCCCCAATGCTTTGCCACCTACCGTGCAATTCATTCCAACCCAGTGGTGTGGTTGCATTCGATATAGCAGAGCACCATTGTAGCAGTCATAAGGCATGCTAGTCACCAGCGTAAAGTTGTACTAGATATCATCGGGGGGGGAGTGAAAAAATATTTGTTCACGCTACTCTAGTCCCTACCCAGTGGAGAGAGAGACCCTGAAACTGTCTGTGGTACTTGAATACGACATCCTCTCTGGAAACGGTTAGTGTGTGTGGGGCGTATGATGTTGGGGTCCAATTCCGGAGGCCTTCGGAGAGCTCCCAAACGTGTTCAGCGTGTTCACATTCAGCCAACGGGTTTCTGTCGCCATCGTGGTAGGTCCTGGGCTAACATAGTCCCCATGCGTAACAAAACTTCACGCTTCAGTGAGAAGGCGCAGAGGAGCAGAAACATTCCGTTCGTGGTGAAGTGGTATAGTTCATGCGTCATGGGGAATAAGAAGATGGGGTGCTGAAGCTGAGACGAGTTGGAGTGAAAAATGCATTTGTATAGCTCACACAAACAACAGCATGGATCAACTCATATAGATGGTAGTGAAAACGTATGGGAAACAATGGCCTATGAGGCATGGAGTGATAGCTTATGTGCTCACGCGGTACATGGTAAATGTTGTCTTAAAGATAGTTCATACGAAGCACTACAGGCGGCATGCACACGGAACATACCCATGAGAAGAATCGATCGTCGGCGAAAACACTACTCACACCAATTCACACGGCCGCACGGCCGGAACAGGGAGGATTCAGTGGGAGGCGATGTACATATCTACCGACGGTATAAAGCCGAATTCGCCGCGGAGTGACCTACCAGGTAAACAAACATTTTCGCCGGGGAGTGACTAGCTCACCGTCTTGTGACATGCAACGTTTCTTTCGAAAGCGACAGATATTTTTTTCTGATATGAATTTGGTTCTTGTTTTGTTGACCAGGAAACCGTGATTCCGGCAGTGAATGGAAGGTAGGGTATTGCGGATTTTCGAATCGATTCACTATGAAAAATATAGTAAGGGGCTCGAGGGAATCGGGTCTATGCTCAGGACCTTGTGTCTGTTGCTCTTCTAAATCGAGGTTTTGAACGGAACATCGCCCACCAAAGTCGATTGTTCAATATTGAGTGATCTCAGCTCGCACCCCCCGCACTTTATGAATATTGTTGTGTCGACAATGTTTTTTGCTCGTTGCAGGGAGGTTTAAACGTTCATTTGATTCTTCCAACTCATTTTCCGCTCGCTCAAAGCGCTCACCCGACGTGTACCACTCCGGGATCGAAGTTCGAACTGGAGCTCCCTCGAAACGCGGCCTAGGCTCGGCTCAACATGGCCACAATATTACGATCCAGATCGGCAGCAAATCTGTACGCATCACACCTCGAAGAATTTGAGTGGAAATGCTCTTCCTTGCACCGCGACCTCGAACGAACTCAACCAAGGACTTATCACTCTGCGATAGTCCAGCAGCGTTAACAGCCTTCCGCAAATTGATCAGTCACTGGTTTTGAAGACAACGTAAAGATCTTCAGCCCTGATCCCCAATCAAATCAAAGTGTTTCACTGGGCGTATTGCCGCTAAAGGGCTCTCAAGCAACATCGAACAAGCACTGATTCATTACTGTGGAATTGTATTGGAGAACAACTGCAAGAGGACATTCACCGTTGGGCACACAAAAACGTTCATGGGGCTCGTTTCATTCCACCACGCACAACAGCACCGCCTCCAACATCCTGCCAAAAACGTGCATATCCAGAAATAAATGATGCCACGTAAAGCTGCGGGGGACTCCTTCATTCCACAAGACATGTGGTGGACAGACCCAAAGCAACAAGCGTACAACCGAGGATCCCTGAACTATTGTTTGTTGCGACGCCTGCGTGTCACTTCCCCATCACCCTTTTTTCGGTTCTTTTCTATCACGCTTTGAAACGCCGATCTCTACGGTACATATGGGGATGTTGCGTCACGAGGAATGCACTTTTTCATTTTTCACCTCACCAATAGTGCTCGATTCCAACGACAATTGAACGATGGAAACCCGGTTCCCATACCCTTCCCTCTCTTCGAACCCGTTCTGCTTCCTTCCTTCCCGTGCGCACCTATCCCACCACCAAGTTCTGCCCTCCCCCACCATGGCCGCCGCCACTGCTGACAAGCGGTGGACCAGGCAAGAGTTCGATATTCGCGGGAACTACGGCGGAAAAAAGATCCAATTGTCAGAAGGCTCAGAGACCAAGCAAGCGAGGAAGAGACCTCTCTTTCTCTGTCCCTTTCGGATTTCGAAAGTACTCGCACGACCCCGGTAACAGCGCACGCTCAGCCCTCCGCAGCCGGCATCACCTTCAACCGCCGCGAGGAGGAATCAAACACGGGCTGGACGAAGCCCCCCCCCCTCCCCTACCACTCTCGAAAAAGGCCACAACACGGCACCCCCGGGACGCGAACGACGCTTTCTCCCTACTGTCTGTTGGCCCTGCCTCAAGGCCGGACGCAATCTGCGACACTGAGACCACGCCCGCTCGCCGCAGCCGCGCCGGGAAAAAGCTCTTCCCTCGTCGTCAACGCCCCCGCGTTCGTGCTCTCGCGAGCCCCTCCGCCTCTCGCCGGCTCCGCGTCCGAGGGCGGCGCGCCGCCGTTGGTAACGCTCGCCATGCTATCGACGATCCTGCCGCTCGCACCCTGCTGGCGCGAATCGGCGAGCGAGACAGCGCGACACCGGAGAGACGCTCCCGAGAAGGATCGAAACGACGCAGGACCGTCCGTCGACGACGTGGCACCCGCGTAACGGAACGACACTAGGCCTGTCGCGAACGGATCATCCCCGTTCCCAGCCACCGCCGTCGCCACCTCCTCTGCGCGGCCGGCGACCCGGCACGGGGGTCGCGGGAAGCATATCTGATCGTTGCTGTTTCTCCCGGTCACCGCCCGCCTAACCCCGCGCGGGCTCACGGCGGCGGCGCCTTCGCCGCCGCCGCCGCCGCCGCATCCGTCTGGCAGGGCAGGGACTCTACTATTCGATATCGCGAACACCTGCTCGCGACGATCCTGGTGATGCTGCAGGCTTCGTCTCCTCGGTGTTGCGTTGGTTTTCTTCATAACCTCGGCTCCCGGCAAGCACAGCAACGGCGCCGGCAAGGCGGCAACCTGGGGCCCCCACCCCTCGCCGGTGCCGAGCGCGCTGGCGAAGCCGAGCGGCTTGACTTCTAACGACACGGCCGGCGGGGGCGCGCCGCTGCAGCCGCCCCAACCGCCGCCGCCACAGCAGCT